GCAGTAGACAGTGAGTTTATTCATCCATCCATTATCTTTACCCACTTCTTCTTTTTCAGGTCACTGGTGCCCATATCCAGCAGACACTGTGCGAGAGGCGGGGGACACCCTGGACAGGTCGCACGTCCATCCCAGGGACACATAGAGACAAACAACCATTCATTTTCTCACTCACACCTATACGACAATTTAATTTTCTAAGAAAGCATTAGTTGGCAGCTAGCTAGCTGATGCTAACTGTTAGCACCATCGACACCAGCAGAGTTGGCTCACTCCCAGTTTGACCTCACACCGGGTTACAAAGCGTTGGTTTGAACCCAGCACGCTGCAGTGTGTAAGTTTACAAAATATTTGATTTTTAAATTACTGTCCTGGGGGCAGCACGGTGGCGCAGCTGGTGGAGCCGCTGCCTCTCAAGTGAGCAGGTCACACCGGTTCAAATCCCAGTCTGGGGCCCTTTCTGGGTGGAGTTTGCAGGTTCTCTCCGTGCATACGTGGGTTTTCTCCGGGTACTCCAGTTTCCTCCCACAGACCAAAAACATGCATGTTAGGCTGATTGGTGACTCTAGTGAGAGAGTGAATGGTTGTTTGTCTCGTTTGTCTCTATGTGTCTCTGTGATGGACTGAAGACCTGTCCAGGTGTCCCCCGCCTCTTACACAGTGATGGCTGGACATGGGCACTAGTGACCCTCGCGACCTGAAAAGATTAGAAGTGGGTAAAGATGATGGATGGACTGTTAATCCAGCTCATGGGTCTACAGCATGCGGCTCTTTGGTCCCTCTGCAGCGGCTCTTTCAAGCTTTGACCAAAACTAACATAAAACTGAATTTTATAGGATTTTATACCCACGACAAAAAATGACTAGTTTTAGCAGTTTTCCTGTCATTTCCTTTGCAAATATGTGGATACTGGTACTAATACACAGAGTTATTTTTTAAATTCACTTTAACTTTATGCTTAATTTCTTCAAAGTAGGATTTTCAATTTCTCCACACAAAAAAAAAAATACACACATAAGCCTGCACAGTTCATTGTTTTAGTTTAAAAAAATTGGCAAAATAATGTTTTTTTTTTTTTTCTTTTACAAGAATCCAGTCTTTTATGGTAGACTTGCAGCCTGGTTATGAACACCAGTGACACCCTGCAACCTGAAAAGGAAGAAGCAAGTAAAAATAATGGATGAACGGCTGGTCAGATAAATGAAATCCTGTCTTTTTGTCTCAAAATGTAAAAATATCAATAATTGTTAACAATCATCAGATGTTTTCAGTTTTATAATTTCACACCTACTGGCCAGAAAAGCTCCCTCTAACAATCTTAAAGTGGCCCATGGGCCACCAGTTGATAATGACAATTGTAGCAGGTTATGTGGCTCCGGACACGTTTAAGTTAATGAACGAAGGGACAGAAATGGCTCTTTTGATTGTAAAGGTTGCAGACCCCTGATCCAGATGTTTCTTTTTTTGTTGTTTTTGGATAGAAAGCCATTTCAGTATCAGGATTAAAACAAACATTTTGTGAGCCGTTAGAAGAAATATCTCCAAAAAAGTAAAAATAAATAGAGATCATCTATCTATCATCTATCTTCTAATCATCCAAATCCCTTTTGGAGCCATTAGTATTAAAAATGGTCACAGACAGACCTTAGAAAACACAAAAATGGACATAATGTGGTCGACGTTACCATTTTTGAGCTAAAACTTGATGTGGTAGTAGCTGAGAGTCGTTCACACAGACTGAGGGTGAGATTATCACAGCAGATATTTTCAAGTTCTGACCACATGCATTCCTTCATTACATTTTTGCTTCACAACCAATATTTCTGGATAAGTTCAAACTTTATTAATAAAAGTTGCATTCATATATTTCTACACTTTGTAAAACTCGTGAGAGAATGAGGAAATGTAGCTATAACAAACGAAAAGCTTACAAGCACAGAAATGAGCCCATACGACTCAAGAGGCCCACAAAGCAAAAAAAAAAAAACACACAGACGAGAGGATTTGTACCTCAGAGGGAAATCAACGCTCATGATAACAATGACCATCAGGGGCTAAAACCCTGAGGGGAATTTCACATAACATGGAATCCTCTGAAGGACTGAGCTGCACGCTTAGTATTAAAATAAACTACTTCTGTCACATTAGCATTTTCAGAGGCAGCAGAAATAACATTTAATTCTCACAAGTCCCTTTAATGTTTGCAACATGTGTGTATTTTAGACTGTGTTTGTGTGCAATGGTTACAAACATTTTTGTGATTCTGTTAGATATACAATAAAGTGTGAAATATGTTGCGCGTGGAGGAAGCAGATAAATGAGTTGTCAGGATGAATGCAAGCCAAAGAGAATCAGAAGAATCAGGGAGATCTGAGAGAAAAGACGAGAAATTGTGCTCAAGTGCATAAATCTTAGAAACTAGCAGTGCATTAATCATGTGTCTGAAACACATTAACACCAGAAACTTGAAGGCAACATGAACTTCTTCTGAAGAGAGGAACATTTTTAAAAAATTCTGCACATTTTTTACATTTCCACTCTTTTCAATGTGAAGAAGATGAAGGAGATGGTTGTAGACTTCAGAAGGAACAAACACCCCCCCAACTACAAATACTTGGGTGTACACCTGAATGACAACCTCAGCTGTGGCAACACCACCACCAGCCTGACCAAGAAAGCTCATCAGAGACTCTACTTCCTCAGGCGGCTGAGACGAGCTGGTCTGGGAAGCTCAGTCCTCACCTCCTTCTACAGGTGTGCAGTGGAGAGCATCCTGTGCTCCAGCATCAACGTGTGGCATGGAGGCTGCACAGCTGCAGAAAGAAAAGCTTTGCAGAGAGTGGTGAAGGCTGCACAGATGTTGGAGTCAGCCTCCCCACCATCACAAACATCTACACCTCCAGATGCAGGAAGAAGGCCGCATGCATCATGAAGGACCCCACTCACCCAGCACACACACTTTTTGCTCCGCTCCCCTCAGGAAGGAGGTTGAGGAGCATTAAGTGTAGAACCGCTAGACTGAGGAACAGCTTCTACCCTGAGGCTGTTAGACTCATGAATCTCTAACTAGAATAATCACAGTGAAAAAAAATCACGTTGTGTTCATGCGTGCTCATCTGCTCACACACACTCATGTTCGTGCTGCTGTTCGGCGCATTGTTTTTTATGCTACTAGTACTCAGCGTATTTTTAGTTAACATTTTTCTTCGTGCATATCTTAGATCTTATTACCGTTTTTCTTTTACACTTTCATACCTTTGTTGGATGCAACGGACCCTGTGTACACGTTTGTATTCGTTCCACCACATTTGACACATGTGGTGTGCATGACAAATAAAGAACCTTGAATCCTTTTGTTCAACAAACCTGACATGCAAATAAAATAAAAACAAAACTGGAAAATCCATCTTAAAGAGTCATTGAACTCAATATTCAGATTTTCTGCCTCTATGTCGTAAAATGCATTGAACAGGTTCATCTTTTCAGACTCTTGAGTAAAGGGTCCCTCTTTTTTACATATTTCCTTATCAAAGCATCTTCTTCACCTTCTTCTTGTGTTATCAGCATTTGAAAAACTAGTGTCTTCTTCACTTCTAAAAGTCCAGTTTAATCACCTACAGCACCCTCTGCTGGTTGTCTTGAGTAAATACATTGCATAGGTTCAACTTATTTACACCATGTTGTAATCTGTCTTGTGGGAGGGAGATGCCCTCTGGCACCAGGTCCAGAACAGACAATAACAAAAAAAAAAAAATAATAATAAATTCTTGGAAAATGCTGCAAAAATTTTCTAATGAAAACCCCAAAATTTGACGTAGAACACACGACTAGCAGGCACTGATCGATTGTTTAATTAGAATAATTTTCACAAATCTGACGAGAGCAAAGAGCACATTTTATTAACTTTTTTTCCATTTTTCTACTTGCAAGGTCAGAATATAAAGCAAATAATCCTTCAGACAGTGGTTCCTGCTCATAAAAATCTACAAACTCCAGGCAAAACAGTCGTTTCCTAAACGGGAATCTCGGCTCCACTGGAATGTTGCAACACACAATATAAAAAGGCACTTCTTAGATAAAGCAAATTATAATTAAGTTTTATATAGCATGAAAAGAATTGACATATAATGTTACCTGAATGGTTTCCACATGATTTGGTGACAGAAAATGATCGGAATTTAACAAAAGAAACTCCATATAAAAAGAAAAGCATTTATTTTTTACGTTAGTGGTGCAAACCCAGTAAGAACAGCAGCTTTTCTGACGTTTTCTCCAAAACTGCTGCAGAGTTTGCACACTGCAAGTGAAGGAGCGTCGTTGTTGTGTGTGAAAACGCACTTTGTTCCTCGTTAACGTTTCTATTTAAATTGATCTTTTAGCACAGCAGAGACTAAAGAGTGTAGTTCGTCGCTAATAAAAACAGTATCCATGGTAATTTTGTTACATTTTGCCAATAGGTGTTTAAATAAAGGAGGTAAAATACACAATTCAAACAAGATTAGTGGACGTTATTCTATAAAAACAACAGTTTTTTTGTGGATGATGACGGTTTTAAAACATTTTCATTTATGTTAAACATCAGCAGACTAAAGAAGCTTCTTGCTAAGTTAGGAACAGAATGCTCTTTAACTTCAGGACCCCCCTCATGTCTTCAGCTGACGTGTGTTTTATGCACAAAGAAGAACTGCACTTCTGTACTGTGCCATAAAGCAAAAAGTAATTCAAAAATGATAATACTGCATACAAAGTGACTTTAATTTACAAACAACATAGTAGTTTACGTTTAATCTTTTAAGTGCCACAGCTTCTTTTAAATGACCAACATCACACGTCTGTTTAACACCTGTGTGCTAAAATAAGCAGGTGGTAACAGCACTGGAGGCCAAACGCAACGTTTCAGGATGTATATCGCAGTTCTTGTGCCAGCTCAGCAACAATCTTTGAACAGAACATAGGAGAGATTTAACAATGAAACACAAACAGACATTTATTCACCAAAGTAAAGGCTTGTTTTCCACAGAGCTGGAACGTTGCTCTGCTGGACTCAGTAGGTGCGCACTCCTGGTTTGCCATCCTGGGCCTGGTTGAAGGGGTTTGGTGGACTGGAGGACTCCTCCGGCTGGTCAATGGACTGATAGGTGTCTCTGTTTCGTGACACAGAAGGGAACCCTGCAGAGACACGCCACAAGTTCAGCTCCAACGCCTATATTGCAAATGCATTATTTTCAAATCATATTTAATCACGTCTCTTTGAACCTCAAGGTTTTTAGGTGTACAGTAGTCCCGCGCTACTTCGCGGTTCGACTTTCACAGACTCGCTCTATCGCGGGACACGATGGTCAACTTTAACTGGGACAGTACTGGATACAGTACAGTACAATAAAAAGTTAATGAAAAAATAAAATACTTCGGACAGGCGTCACTATTTTGTACTTTTCTCTCAATAAGCCTACACCGTAGCTCCACTCATAAAGACTACATTTCCCAGAAGCCAACAGTGCCCCACCCAGAAACCCCGTTTCCTTCTGCTGAAATGCTAAAGAGAAAGTTGTGATCTGATCGGAAAAAAGGTTGGGGTTTATTACAATGACTTCAGCGCCCAGCGGATGGAACCCACTGAACCGGACCAGAACCGGAGCAGAACCAGACCTCCAGACCCATCGGTGAATCTTGAGAGCTGCTAGCCAGCCCATGAGGAATTGGGAGCGGGGAAGCGTTGGTAAGTAAAATTTAGTAGCTACATATTAGTATGTTGATAAATTAGTAGGATTTAAGAGTTTAGAACAATGATTGTGGGCTTCGTTGCTGCAGGGTACGTCTACAGAAACGGAACAGAGGCGGACCGGGACCGACAGCTGTTACTGTTCTGCAGAGCTATTAAGTAAAATTTAGTAGCTACACATACATTACTGTATGCATGTTGTTAAAATGACGTAGGTTTAAGAGTTTAGAACATTGTGAGAGTGTGGGAAGGGTTTCTAAAGCCTTAAAATATATATAAATATAAAATAAATATAACATTGCTACTTCATGGATTTTCACTTATTGCGGGGGGTATGGAACATAACCCCCGTGATAAACGAGGGACTACTGTATAGGTCTGTTTCTTTACACCCGCCTCTCTTTAAACAGATTCATGAAAGTGTTCTGATTTATCACCTTGACGCAAGCAGCCTGCCGCCTCTGGATAAATACAGATTACATTGTTGGAGACTTGTCGTTGGCAACATGAAGCGCATAAGATCTCTGATGAATATTCAACTGAGAAACCAGCCATTATAGACATTTATTCCATTTCATCTCGGGTTAATTTTTGTTATTCTCCCATTTGTTGTGTCTATTTTGAGAAAGGTCTGCAATAAGCCGTGGCCTGAGAATTAAATATGATCTTTAAACAGCCTTTCTGTGAGCAAAGAAACTGAAAGTTCTGGACAAACTCCACGAGGACTCGTGTTTTATAATGAAATCTGGTTGTGTACTTTGTGTGGTGCTGCACAGCCACGGACAGAATACCAAGGATGTGTTTGTGGAAGTTCAAAGTTCTGCACACTAATACCTCGGCATGGCTCCTACTGTGACAAATCTGCAAATTTACATTCTATTCAAACAAAAGAGGTTGTTTTCTTATTGCATAAGGTTTTGGATTAATTACGTTTCGAAAAGCAGTACCTTTATACAACCCCGATGCCAAAATGGTTGGAACGTCGTGTAAAACGTAAATAAAAATAGAATGCAATGATTTGCTGATCTCACAAACCCATACTGGATTCACAGTGGAACACAGTCAACATTTCAAACGTTAAACTAAGGAACCACTTTTAGGAAACAAGTGCATTACATATTTTATGGCAGTAACTCAAAACATAATAAAAGTAAGTGGTCAAAAAGAAGAAACAGCTGGAGGCGCATGTTGCAACAAATTAGGTTAATTGGCAAAAGAGGGCTGGGTTAAAAAAAAAAGAGCGATTTTAGAGAGGCTGAATCTTTCAGTAGTAAAGACGGTTATAGTTCTCTAGTTTGCAAAAAACGGAGCTGCCACCAAATTCAGAATGGCTGTTTTTACTTACTTTCTACTGTGAATATATATATATATATATATATATATATATATATATATATATATATATATATTTTAGATTTGCAAATCATTGCATTCATTTTCATTTTACATAACTTCCCAACTGTTTTTGAATAGGTGTAGTTTTACAAATAAAACGGTAGAAAAAAAAAAATTATTTAGATGCAAAAACTGGTAGTTAACCGACATATATCACCATGTCATTTTCAGCAGCTTTAGAAAAATACAGACTTTATTTATCTAGGAATAAGTCTTCAATATGGTGACTTTAAGCTCATATTGAAATGCGCATTATCATGGAGCTCTGCCTAAAATACAAAGAAAAACTGAAAAACACCAACAAATGAGGTGTCTGGAGACTAAAACTCTGCATAAAATATTCAGGATGTGCAAAAAATAAATAAAAAGCAGACAAATGAGCACAAATAATGCAGAAAACATTGAAACACAATGTACAGGCGAACGGTGATGCAGGCAGGATGGAAAATTAATGAGAACTGCCGACGATAAAAACGGCGCAGGCTGCTCTCACAGAAATACATAAGCAAGTATGGCATCTTTATTATGTTTTATAGAAAATAAAAACAAAAGCAATACAATCAAACATACTTATGTTATGAAGGACTTTCCATTGGCCTTGTTTAACGTCAGGTTGCAGATTTAAAAGAGGTTAAATTTATTTAAAATGCAATCATTTCTGTGAGGTCAGCTCAAAACAGACAAAGGAAAAAGTCAAATAATAATTAAAAAAAACACAAAAAATGTGGAATAGAATATAAACATGACAACATGAACGTGTTTTCTCTTGTGTGTCCTGTCACCTGATTTGTAATCTTATTTCCTGGGTGGAAGAGGATGAAAGAGGAGGGTTTGAAAAAAAAAAAAAAAAAAAAAGGAATGGTAAAAAGGAAGAAGCCAGGAATCAGTAACGGCGGCCAAAAAAGACACTGTCAGCACTGTCCATAGTGCACCGACTGTCCACAGAGGTCTCTAAGTCTGAGGAAACACAGACCAGGAGTGAAAGAAGAGAACAGGTACTTGATCAAAACGAGACACCCACAACTGGAAAACAAGAACCCAAAGAAGACAGTGTGACATGAGCAAACGAGCAGCCAGTGACATGCACAAATAAACAAGGAAACGTTCACGTTCAAGCAAATGCACATTTACACAAGATCAATGGAAGGGATCAGACGTTCGAAAAGCCCCGCCCCTCGTTAGCCGTGCTGCCTTCAGGTTGAGGCTTGTGGAGGACTTCGTGCAACTGAAATACATGAAATGTTTTGAAAGAACGTAATTCTCAACTTTAAAAAAAATACTGTAAAAGATGAATTTCCACCAGTTGTTAAGTAGACAGTTGAAGTCAGTTTCTAAATTTTGAGTCATGACGATGAAAGTCTGAAAATGTTAGAAAACCCATCGTCCTATCTCTAATGGGGCCGAGATGGGGTAGAGGTAGACCAGCCGACCTGGGACCAGAAAGTCACGGCTCGACTCCCCACCATGCCCACATGTCATGGTGTCCCTGAACAAAAACACCCAATTCCTAACTGTTCCCCGGGTGCTTGCATAGCCGCCCACTGCTCCACCTGGGTGATGAGTTAAATGCAAAGAACTAATTTTGCTAATGTATGGGAACATACACCGATGACAACGCATTGCACTTTACTTCACTATGCATGTGATGACTTAAAAAAAAAAAAAAAAAAAAATTAAATTTAAAATAAAAACATTTGTTTTTCTGCGTTCTAATTTTGATGCTCATTGAGAAAAGAAAAAATAAATTAGCTTCTTTAAAGATGACAAAACTTAAAAGAAACTGAAAATAAGAAACTGAAGGGAAGTTCTGTCCATTCAGTGGATGAGAGACGAGCCAAACTCAGGTTTAATTTTTTTTTTTTTTTAAAGTACACGTTATGTATTAAAAGGTACTCAATGCTAAGTCATTAACACTAGACAAATAAATAAAAAACTAATCACTGAATTATTTTTTTCATCCATCCATCCATCCATTATCTTTACCCGCTTCCTTGTTTTCGGGTCACTGGTGCCCATATCCAGCAGTCACTGTGTGAGAGGCGGGGGACACCCTGGACATGTCTCCAGTCCATCACAGGGACACAGAGACAAACACATTCACTCTCTCACTTGGGTCCGTTTTGCTGCATCTGGGCCAGGACTGCTTACCATCATTGATGGAATTCTGAATTATATCAGATGATTTCAAAGGAAAATGTCCATGAACTGAATCTGAGAAGGTGCTTCATGCAGCGACACAAAGACCCTCAGCGCACAAGTGGTTCAAAGAATGTTCAAGAAGAATAAAGTTCATGTTTTGGAATGACCAAGTCAAAGTCCTGACCTTAATCCAATCCAGATGTTGTGGAAGGACCTGAAGCAGCAGTTAATGAGAGGAAACCACCAACATCCCAGAGCTGAAGCTGTTCTGTACGGAGGAATGGACTAAAGTTCCTCCAAGTCGGTGAGCAGGACTGAGCATCAGTTACCAGAAATGTTTAGTTGCAGTTATTGCTGTTCAGGGGGGGTCACAGCAGATACTGAAATCAAAGGTTCACTTACTTTTCCCACTCAAAAATATATAACACTGGATCATTTTCCTCAATAAATAAATGACAAAGTATTTTGTCTCATTTGTTTAACTGGGTTCTCTTTATCTACTTTTAGGACTTGTGTGAAAATCTGATCATGACCACGTATTCATGCAGAAATATGGAAAATTCTGAAGGGTTCACAAACTTCAAGCGCCACTGTATGTCTGGTTCTCATATAGTGCTCGTCAGTGTTAACATCTACCATGTAGTCATTAAACGCACGCACACGCTGAAAGAGCTGCACGTTCATCAGTCACAACGCAGCCTAATGGCTGCTCCTGCTGCGAGAAGTAAAACTATAAAGAGACCAGATTCATCAATAATCGATTATCTTCCACACAGTCAAGAGAATTGTTTCATAAGCTGCAGTTTGGGGTCACAATATAAGAAGCTAGTATCAACCTCCTCCCCCTAGATTATTGTATAAGCTACCACTGTTATGAAATAAATACAAAATGTCTGGGTGATGCTTTAAAATATTATCCATGGGTTGAAGCCTCCAGCGGGCATCGCATGCAGCTCACTGGAATTTATCATCAAAAAGCTCCTAGCTGAGTGAGTTTAAACCCACAAATCAATAGCTGCAAATAATAAGATAAGAAAATCACCCCCTACAGGTACCGATCATTTTCTGGTTCAAAAGCTGTAAAATCTAAACTCAATAAATCACTCAGATCTTTAGGTTTGTGTCCATCTCTGCACATTACTTGAGATTTTTTTCTTCCTGCACTCTCGTTTATTTTAAAGCCTGGATCGTTTTAACAGTTTCTCTGCGCAGGGCAAGATGATTCCCATGTTCTAAATAATTTGTACGTTTTGTTTGTCAAACTGTAACGTGGATATTTCACTGCCGAAAAAAAAAAAAAAGGTCCAGCAAATGTAACCAATTAGTTAAATGTGAGTCATCTGCCTGTGGTTTGGTAGTTTTCTCAGTTTGTGCTGCAGTCTGGCTCCCTTTCATGACAAGTGGTGTAAAACTGGAACAGCACGTATTTTATCCTGACGCATGCTCAATAATCCAGGTAGACAAATCTTAACAGGATGAGTCAGGTCCTCTGGACGGATTCAAGACCAATCTCCAAACTCTGTTTTTTCTTTTCCTTCATATTTTCATTTAGCCTTTATTTATCCAGGTAGTCTCATTGATCCACGAGAACTCATTTTCAACAGAGACCTGTTTAAGGAGCAGATGGTGGAGATTAAGGGCCTTGCTCAGGGGCCCATAGTAGGGCGAATGATGGTGGAGGGAGCTGTGGTTGTTCCACCTTTTCCACCCACATTTTGATGTTGACGGTGCCGGGAGTTGAACCTGCGACTTTCCGATCACAGGCCCATCTTCTAACCTCTGCGCCACCACTCCCCTATTTTAGCTAAGGTTTTAGAAAAACAGATAAATACTCAAGTCAAGAACTATTTGGACTCAGTATTTTATCTTCTCTCCAATCTGGCTTCAGAAAACACCAAAGCACAATGACTGCATCACTGAAGGTTTTTAATCATGTTGTTGAAGCTTTGGACACTAAGGATTACTGCGCTGCACTTTACTTCAACCTGTCCAAAGCCTTTGATACTCTAGATCATGACATCTTATGCCACAAGCTCTCAGATACTGGCTTCTCATTGTTGGTTGGTTCTCAGACTATCTTTCAGGTCGGAGGCAATGTGTTCAACATAACGGTACTTCATCTAGCTACCTAACGGTTAATAATGGTGTGCCACAAGGCTCAGTTTTAGGTCCCACTTTTTTTTACAATTTAATGTATATAAATAATATAGGTCAAAACACTTCTGATCTCTATGCCGACGACACTTGTTTATTGCCGAGCTAACACAGCTGCCAAGGTTTTCCAGCTTCTACAGTCTGCATGTGACATCATTCAGTCGGACTTGTTCCATCTCAAACTGGTGCTAAATGCTGATAAAAACCAAAGGGATGTTGTTTTCCAACAGAAAGTCGATGCCAGCAACTCTTCCTCCTATCTCATCCATGCATGGGGTTCCTATTGAGTTTGTAGATTCTTACAAATACTTGGGAATTTTGGTCGATGCACATCTATAAATCACTCCTTGGTCTGTTACCTTCTTATATCTCTTCCTACTTATCATGGCGTCAGTGCAGTTACAACATGCGCTCTCAGGCCATCATTACCTGCAGCGTTCCCTCAGTGCACACTGAACTTGGCTAAAAGGCCTTTTCTTACTCTGCTCCTGCAACACCTTGCAACAGGAACTGAAGTTGTCCGCCTTGATTTCTTTAAGGGGTTTTAAACATTTGATAATGTCAACAGAAAAATCAAAGCAAATATGTTCTTGTTTTTAGTATTTCACCCCGTTTTACAGCACCCTGATTTATTGTTTTATACACTACTCTTATTTTAACTGCATTTTTATTGTAGTTTATTGTTACTGTTGTCTGTACTTTATATGTTCTTTCTGGAAAAGGTCCGTCTTGTAAATGAGTCCTTGTGGCTCAACGAGACTACGGTAGTTTGTATAAATAAATGTTGAATGAAAAAAGTATGTTAGTTACAGAAATTACATCACTGGATGCTGAGATGAAGTCGTAACAAAACAATATTAATATTGACGTTAAGAAAACTCGTGTAAAGTCTTCCCAGATCCAAACGATGGCATTTTAACTCGTTAGTGTCTCACATGTTATTCATTCTTCCTACGTCTACAAGTTTCCATTTCGGGTACATTTGATGCAATCAGTGATACTTACCAAAGTTGACGTTGTAATCTCCTCCCCGTTCGCGGTACATTTGGTAGACAAAGAAACAGGAAGCAGGTTTAAGCAGCAGGTTGAGAATGGCCATCCCTGCACTGAAGCGTCTTTCTGCCTGAAAGTCATTCAAAGGGTAATAGATCCCAAAATGGATGATGTCAGTCAGTATTGTCAGAATCATCCCCAGAAGGAACTACAGGAACAGGAACACAGAACATAAAAGAGAACAATGATTACGGGGCTTTGAAAGGGTTTTTTTATTCTCTGAAGTGCTCAAATACAAAACTGTATTAGTGTCTGAGAGAAAGATTCTTTGTATTATGCAATATGAGCAAAATTAAGTCATTTCACTGCTGATGAAAGCAGACAAGAAAAGGAAGCATTCAAAAATTAAAAATGCACCAGGATAAGAAATCCAGACAGCACAACTCACATCGTTATGAAACAAATCTTAAAATAATTAGAAAGGATGCAAAAAGTACTCATCGCAACATTATAAAGACACGCGAAAATATTTTTTCCTAAAGCTGTTGTGAAATTTTAAAATTGTTAACCAAAGTTGTGAACTGCAAACTACAACATGCATCGATTAAGCTGCTGAAAAAGTCGAAGGGACTAAAAACGGATCAACAACCACAACGTCTATTAAAACGTGGTCAAGGCAATTGTTGAGAGGGTTTTAACTTTTCACCTCCACGATCATCTGAGCTGTAGACTAAAAAAAAACTTTAAGGATTGTTTCAACGGCAGGTAAAATAGTGGGGAAACCACAAAAAGCTCTGTCTCAACTCTTTGCAGAAGGAATATTTTAGCAGATTGCATCCATCCTCTTTTTCGTCATTTTGAACCTGTGAGCTCAGGGAGGCGTAAATCTGGGAATGAAGAACATCTATAAGAAGTCATTTATTCTGAGAGCAATAACCATTCTTAACCAAACAAAATTATAACATCTACGTATGCAAAGTCTTTTATTCTACGCACAAATTGATATTTTGATTGTATGAATGCGTTTTATTTTATGCTTGGAGAGCCAAAGAAAAATTTCCACCTTGGTGGACAATAAAGTTTTCTCTCATCTTATTGGAACAAAACGGCTGTAACTCTGTCAAATGTGACCCAAATCATGGATTATGTCACATTTGGTCAAACTAAACCAACTTTTACATTCCTAGTTTTTTGTTTGTTTGTTTGCTTGTTTTTTTACACAATGTTTTGAAACCTAGATCCTGAAATCATGAGTGGTTCCAGAGATATGGCTTGATTTGTCCAGTAAAACAGGACACTGCTTGTTTTGAGAAGACAAGTTTGACAAAACATTTGTAAGTTCTGATCGAGACGGGTCAAATCACGTCCCTGATCCACTCGTGAGATCAGGATGATGTTTCTTGGTATCAAACTTTAAAAGCCAAATTATCTGAAAATGTGCTCCTAGTTTGTCTAAATGGGACTTGATCCCTGATTTGATGTGATGGGTCACATTTCTCAACACAAGAATCTTTGTTTGGAGCTCTGGCCTGGAAACGAGCAGGCGGCATGCAGTTCTTCAAGGAATGCAACGCTTTTAACCCGATGAGGCTTTTCTTTTATATGATTTGCTGTCAAAGCCGTCTACCTCCTGACCTCTGGTAAAAGTCTAGAACACTTTTCCCTCACTTCATCACTAACTTTTATTTGGAAGACATTTGCTATAAAAATTTTTTAAAAATGATGTCAGAGTTTTAATGGCATCAGGTGACTGATGGTCAAAGTGAAAACATGAATCACGTGTTCAGAGTTATGCTTTATTGGTGTCGGTCAAAAACCAAGAATTAAACTGAAACTTCCCCAAGCAAAAGGATAATTGAGATCTACCTCACAGATTCTCATTTAATAAAACGAGGAATTAGTGTCTCATGTTGCATTAAACTGAGAAAAATGAGGTTTTTGTCTTTTCAAACAGGCAACACAAATAAGATTAAACAGACAAATGGGTTGGTGGGAACGTGCAGAGCTGTGTCTGTAGTTGGACTCCAGCGTGGGTCACGTGATAATAAGTCCGCTTGAAGAAAAGAAAACAACTGAGGCAAAGACTCAGCAAGAATAAACACTGCGAGTACATTCTGCAGTACTATGTACACTGCGAGTGTATATACTGTAGTGCATTGTATGGAAAAGGGTGGATTGCTCTTTTCGGGTCGACGGTGAGGTTCTGCCTCATGTAGAAGAGTTCAAGTACCTCAGGATGTAGAAGAGTTCAAGTACCTCAGGGTTTTGTTCACGAGGGAGGAAAGAATGGAGCGTGAGATTGACAGATGGATTGGTGCATCTGGAGTATTGTGGACTCTGTACCGGTCCGTTGTGGTGAAGAGAGAGCTGAGCTGTAAGGCAAAGCTCTCTGTTTACCGGTCGGTTTACGTATACCCTCACCTATGGTCACAAGCTCTGGGTGGTGACCAAAAGAATGAGATCACGTATTCAGGTGGTTGAAATGTTTCTTCCGCAGAGAAGCTGGACTCTTCCTTAAAGATAGAGTGAGAAGTTCAGTTATCTGGGAGAGACTCGGAGTAGAACTGCTGCTCCTCCACATTGAAAGGAGCCAGCTGAAGGGGTTCCGGCATATGGTAAGGATGCTCCCTGGGCGCCTCCCTAGGGAGGTGCTTCGGGCTTGTCCGACTGGGAGGAGACCCCGGGAAGATCCAGGACAAGCTGGAGAGACTACGTCTCTCAGTTGGCCTGGAAACATCTTGGGGTCCCCCCAGAAGAGCTGGAAGAGGTGGCTGCTGCCCCCGTGACCCGACTCAAAAACAAGTGGAAGATAATCGATGGATGGACATGTGTTTTTTTTATTAACTCTGTGTGTAAATTTACATATTGTCTTTATTGGTTATTTGATTCTACAGGCAATATTTATTATGATGAGTTCTGGACCATTTATGGATTACATTAATTTCCCAAAATTCTGGTTCAAGGTTCTTTATTGTCATTTGCATCACATGTGGTATATAAGGTGGAACAAAATTGTGTACTCAAGGGTCCCAGTTACTCCCCCCAAAAAACAAAATATAAAGTATTTTAAAAAGTATACAAGGATCTAAGTTATAAGCTGAACACTAATAATGTAAAGTAATATGCAGTAATGGTCAATCAGGTCATCTGGACAGTTTATTTTTTGTGGAAAGACGTTTCGCCTGATTTTGTACCTGGATGATTCAGCATGAACTTTGATGTAAAGTAATATGGTTAATTAAAAAGAGCCCAGTTTAAAATAATTTAAAACCATAACGTATTTTCCAAACATGTACATGGCTGTATTTTTGATTTGTCTGTGATAATTTTAATTATTGATTATTTGGCACCCCTTATGAGGACCCCATCAAACCCCTTCCCTACTGACCGACGTACTTACTGCGCATGCGCCTCGCCGTGCACACATCCCTGTTCAAGACTCACCAAGAGAACAGCGTCGATGGAGTCCCTCTGTGCAATCGCCCACACTCCGACTGCTAAAACACCGAAGTTCCCCCATGCATAGGATAAGGGGAGACCAACCATGCACCCCCTGAAGAGACGACAGTTCACAGAAGACAGGTTCTCACTCTCAAGGAGTCACATCTGATTGCACACAAAGTCGCTACAGTACGTGCAGGTGAAAACGAAACTCCGAGTCGAGAGAGCGCGTAGACGAGACGAGAGAAATTCCTCAGGTGAGTGACGAAAAACTGTTCAGACTCACCAAACAGTGAGCAGCCAGTGAAGCAGCACTATGGCCTGGAAGACAGGACAGCGTTGGGGTTCTTTAAAAAAATACTTTATGAACATTATAACCATTAATTAGTAGGAAAACATGTTTAAAAACAATAGCAATGCACACGTTGTTCAGTATTCAGTAAAGGATCTAACACGCCAACAATTCCAGGACTAAATGGACAATCTGATGCATCTTGATAGTTTCAGACGCTCAGGTGTGACATGGTGGAACATGTCCGACAGAATAAATCTGAAAACATTTAAAAATGATTTTTTATTATTATTATTATTATTATGACAGCTATGGATGTGATTAAAATCATATTTCCAGCAGATGAGTTAAACAAGATTCAAAGCCAAAACAAAAATTTAAACCATAAATGGCAGGACAACATTTTGGTGTTTCCTCTGCAGAACCAGTGCAAACCTTTCATTTCTCAGTGGTTTCACACTTTTCTTGCTCAACAGAAACAGTTCCAGAGTGTTGTCAGAGGAAGGTGGTTTCCACACACACACAACTGACACAAAGCCTGAATGTTGTTCAGGGTGAAACCCTGTCCAAACACAAACTCCCATCATAAGCACAGGCTCACCTTCAGGTTTATGGCAGGGATTTCCATCTTGAGGCTGTTTGGTCAAAGCCGACTCAGTGTTTCAACTTGTTGAAAGGCCACATGAAAAATGCCACACTTGTTCCTCTTCCACAAACTTCTGTGCAAACCCCTCCTCCTCCGTTTGAACTGAACCTGCAAACACAAGCCATGTGACAGCAGCCTGACTGCCTCCCATGTGACTCCCCCCTCCTCCCCTCAGGAGGAGCTCCAGCTGCTGCTTCTGACTCAGCTTCACCACCAAGGGTCTGCAGTGGAGTCTGTGTGTGTCTGTCCATTTTCCTTTGAGAGCTGAAGACTCTGCTGAAGAAGCTGAAACCGAGTTATCAAAACTAAAAACAGCAGACGACTAAATAAAATCTAAAAGAAGCAAAACACGAGCTAAAAGAAACTGAAGCTGAGATAGAACTAAAAACAGCAGAAGACTAATTAAAAACTAAAAAGAGCAAAAAAGTTTAAAGAAGCCAGAGACTAGCAGCAAAAAAAGCAAGACAGTAGCTAAAAGTTAAAAGAAGAAGTAGCCAAATTTAAAATAGCAAAACAATAGCTAAAAGTCGAAAGTAACAAAACAGTAGCTAAAATATATATATTTTTTGTTACATTTATATTTTATCTAGTTCATTCAATAAAGGTTGAATGAACTAGATAACATATAAATGTAACAAAACTAGATGAAGTAGCAAAAGAGCCTGCTAGAAAATAAAAGTACACAAAAAGCTAGCTAAAAGCTTAAAGTAATGAAAGACTAAAAGTAATGAAAAGATAGCTAAAAGTAAAGAAAGGCGAGATGATAGCTAAGTAATGAGCTAAAAGTAACAAAAAGCTAAAAGTAAAGAAATGATAGTTAAAAGCTAAAAGTAAAGAAAGGCTAGCTAAGAGCTAAAAGTAAAGAAAGGCTAGCTAATAGCTAAAAGTAATGAAAAGCTAAAAGCAATGAAAAGCTAGCTAAAAGCTGAAAGTAAAGAAAGGTTAGTTAATAGCTAAAAGTAATGAAAGGCTAGCTAAAAACTAAAAGTATTGAAAGGCTAGTTAAAAGTAATGAAAGTTAGATAAATGTTGAAGGTAAAGAAAGGCTAGCTAATAGCTAAAAGTAATGAAAAGCTAAAAGCAATGAAAAGCTAGCTAAAAGCTGAAAGTAAAGAAAGGTTAGTTAATAGCTAAAAGTAAAGAAAGGCTAGCTAAGAGCTAAAAGTAAAGAAAGGATAGTTAAAAGCTAAAAGTAAAGAAAGGCTAGCTAAGAGCTAAAAGTAATGAAAGGCTAGCTAAAAACTAAAAGTATTGAAAGGCTAGCTAAAAGTAATGAAAGTTAGATAAATGTTGAAGGTAATGAAAGGCTAGCTAATAGCTAAAAGTAATGACAAGCTAAAAGCAATGAAAAGCTAGCTAAAAGCTGAAAGTCAAGAAAGGTTAGTTAATAGCTAAAAATAATGAAAGGCTATAGCTAATAGCAAAAAGTAACAAAAAGCTAAACGTAATGAAAGACTAGCTAAAGGCTAAAAGTAATGAAAGGTTGGCTAAATTCAAAGTCGCAGTAAAAGTTGCAAAAATCTTTTTTTTTTCTTCTTGCTCTCGGTGAAGGCGGACACATTTCCCTCCTGTTCCTTCCCTGCTCTGCTCGTGCTGGGGTTTTTTGAGATATGTTTTTTTTTTTTACCTCCTCTTCCCTCGTGCCCCCTTTTTCTAATCTAATGAAAAAGGAAGCGCCTCTCAGTGAGGCTGCAGCCGCCGACACCCCTTCTACCCTGTCTGTTGTTTGTTTGTGTTTCTTCAGATGGGCTGTACTGAAATGTAATTTCAATGACAATAAAGCTGATTCTGAAGTCATAGCACCCATGATCTGAACAAGGTGAACGATTTGAACTATGAATAGCTGGAATAGCAGTGAGTATGTAGAAGTAGCTTGATTCAGAAAACATACAAAATAATAAACAGGAAAACAATAGTGTGCTGTCGATTGTGATGTTTTGAGAAGAAAAATAAAAAAACATACAGCTTTGATACACATGCCAGCAAACTGGGTTGGTAGCTTTAAAAAGACTAAATGAATGAGTTGACTTGACGTTGATGGTTTTATTTCGTTATAGTCTGATCTGATCTTGTTCTGCTTTCTTTGAATTCCCAATTTAGGGTTTTGTAATAGATATTGTCACAATAACCAGTGTCAACACAGAGCTAAAATGTTCAAAAAGCACCAGAAAGAACCCAACCCATCGGTGCTCTGGGGAGACAAGACAGATCTAACAATAAAGTACCCCTCAACTGTTATTATAAATGCAGCTCAGGTGAGCTTATTAGTAACTCAGACATGATGTGAATCTAAAAAAGGAAGTACCGGTGATCCCAGTCTTGTGGAGACAAAATTAAACAGGAAGTAGAACTGGTTTCAAGGTCTGAGCTTGTTTAAAAGGTGGACTCTGAAAAAACCCTGCTCTTAGCTGTTGGACTTTACAGCCAACTTAAATTTATTTTTTTTGGCTGTCCAGATTACTGTGACTGCTACCTGCAGGTAAGATTCTGAACTATTACAAGCACTCCACATAACTCCAAATAAACAATAATAATAATAATAATAAAACTTTTATTTGCAATTTTTTTTTTTCTGAAATATTGAAACCATCAAGAACGTCACCAAAGAACACCGAGCTGTGATAAAATCCTCATTATCTGTAGTGACCTTTCCTGAAGATGAATATAATATGTATGTGCGTACATCTTGAAGGTTTTATTTTTTCACTTTGTTGTCGACTTCCTCCACAAGCACAAGTCACAACAGTTGGGGAAACTTTATTGATAAGTCTTGAATGAAAGCTGCAGAACTTCTACTCGGTCAGATGTTTTCCTTTTATTGTCGTTTCATTTAAATCATTTTTATTACCAAGAATGACGTTTTCTATTTTGTATGCGTAACAAACTGGGGGCCCGACATTTGTCAGATCTGTGACTACAATATCTAATTTTTGGTTGATGTGTGTTGACAGTTAACCTTTGACCCCAGTATTATTCATGTGGATGGAAGGAGCAGACCTTTAAAATGCTAATGCAACGCTCACTCTCGTTTACTTTTTAAAATAATGGCTCATTTCTTTGCACCTGATCCATCGTATAACCTTCAACATGGCAGATGGTCCCTGTAGCAGCCAGCGTGACCTCTGAACCCAGTTTCCCCTTTGACTGAAGCTCTACAATTCTCTGATGTTAAATGTGAACTTAATAGTTTTGGATGCAAACATGATTTAATATACAACCATAAACGGGAAATATTTTATATGTTTTATGAAATGTTTAAAAGATTGAGTAAAATGACATCATGGTGTTGAGTGCAGTGCTGAAACTGCGTAAAAGAAAATCTACACTTCTTTTCTAGCTGTTGTCAGGATCATACATGAAATGATTTATGGTGAGCTTAATCTTCTTTGAAGCACAATAAAAAAATAAAAAAAGCTGCATTGTTCCCTTCGGCTTTGTTTACTCTGGTAAATTCTATTTTTACTGTTGTAAAATTCATAAAAACACTCCAAGTTTAAAAAGTTAACTTCAGAATGCCACTATGATAATGAATTATATCCCAAAAAGGCTTTGGCTGCTGTTCCAGCCTTGCCAGGGCGGGGTTGGATGTAATTTGTCACTTTGCAGGCCGTTGGCCAAGTTCCCATCAGAGCTCTGTGTCACCAGGAACTAATAAAATTAAAGCTGTAATGTTTTTATTCTGTGATCATAAATCAGGACGACACGCTCACACTTCAGCCACGGTGCTGCTGAGGAGGGACAGAACCGTTACCTTTTTTGGGTTTCAATCAAATATCCATTCAGAACCGTCTTTAGAGTTCGAGATGCGATTCAGACGTTATTCTCCGCACTTGTAGTTAAATGGATTTAAAAGTTCTGAGAGATGGAGGAACACGGAGATAGCGGCTGCTTTACAGCTAGGAGTGGTGGTGCAGAGGTTAGAGAAGGTGGGCCTGTGATCGGAAGGTCGCCGGTTCGACTCCCTGGAGTGACAACATCAATATGTGAGTGGGAAAGGAGAAGCACCTCCACCTTCATTTGCCCCATTCTGGGCCCTTGAGCAAGGCCTTTAACGCCCACCATCTGTTCCCAAACAGGTCTCTCTTGAAAATGAGTCCTCACGACTCAATGAAACCATCTGTATAAATAAAGGTTAAATTAAAAAAATCCCTTTTTCTGACACAATGTGTTAATTCAACAAAGCAGATGAATGTGACCAATATTTCTCTATGAAAGCTTTTATATAAAGAAATGACTTTTTTCCTCGAAAAAAAAACTTTAATTGATGACGTAGACAAAATTAACTCCCTTTCCTCTTTTTGAAATACACTGAACACACCACAGAATTTCATTATATTTGTTTTTATCTAATGGAACTTTATGATTTTTTTAACTTCTTTATCTCATAAATCTAATATTTTACGGTAAAAGCAAAATATAAAATAGCTGCTCTAAACATGTGATCACAACTCCACTAATGTTCATAATTTCATGTTTATCTAGTAAACTTGGAGAGTGCCAGACACACATAAAAATCTATCTATCTATCTATCTATCTATCTATCTATCTATCTATCTATCTATCTATCTATCTATCTATCTATCTATCTATCTATCTATCTATCTATCTATCTATCTATCTATCTATCTATCTATCTATCTATCTATCTATCTATCTATCTATCTATCTATCTATCTATCTATCTATCTATCTATCTATCTATCTATCTATCTATCTATCTATCTATCTATCTATCTATCTATCTATCTATCTATCGGTCATCTGGACAGTTTATTTTTTTGTGCTGAAACGAAAAAAAGAAAACACAAAAAAAGAAACTGTCCAGATGACCTGACTGAAAAATGTTGGATTTTATACCTGGATTATTGAGCATGGACTTTGTTGTTTTCCTTATTATAACTGTGTGAATTCCTTTTACTTGCATCAATATTTTTTAAATTTTATTTTACATTTTTAACAGTACCATTCCGTGTAAATCATCGACCTACATTTTTATCAGGCACCTTGAAGAAAAAAGTGCATGAAAAGAGTTTTTAGATTCCGTTTAATGCCAAAACTTTTCTTAAGCTGCAAAGTGATGACCTCAGACTGTTCTTTTTTTTTTTGTTTGTTTACAACTGTCTAAAAGTTTATTCAGTGTTTTTTTTGTGGCTTCATGCATCTGAGAGCTGCATGGAATATAATCTACACAGATGTGATTTTTGTTGTGGCATGATTGACATAGTGATTATCGTATTTTCCGGCGTATAAGTCGCTTTTTTTTTCTGCATAGATTGGTCAGTCCTGCGACGTATACGTCAAAGCGACTTACAGCATGTACGGGTTTTTTCATATTCATAACGCAATTTTTGACTGACGCTTTAAATTTCTAAGAAATGCAACAGCGAATCCTCCCGTATACGCTCGCTTCACTCAGCTGGTGCAGACGGAAGAACGCTAGAGGGGTAGCGATTCCGGCCACGATGGATGGATGGATGGATGGATGGATGGATGGATGGATGGATGGAT